CGATATATATATATAATAATAATAATTTAAAAAACGCAGAAATAGACAGGCGAATGTGCGGACAAGAAGCTGTCTGTTCTCTAATTACGACAACGTGACGTAACATTCTACCTGTACAGACGGGCAGCAGCCCCACCCAGACGCCAGTGACGTCACAGATTAAGATCGTCTCTTCCGGCGTGCCCAGGTATCCGGTCTGGCAGGTACCGTTGGCGATACTGCGGTAGGTGGTGGTCAGTGTGTCTATCTGGGTGTGGGCGGGGGACGGGGGAGGGCCGCAGTCTACCACTGTGGATGGGGTGGGGAGGAGGGGGCGGGGCAGGGTTAAGGTGGTTGAGGAGGGGGTAGGGGGTCGGGTTGGGGTGTTGGGGTGTGGGGTGTGAGGGAGAAAGAGTTGGGGTGGAAGAGCAGGAAGAAAAGAGTGAGTGAATCAGAGAGGGAATGAGCGAGTGAGTGAGTGAGTGAGAATGGATGAGTAGGTGTGTGTGAGTATGTATGTGTGTGTGTGAGAATTCATTATTGAGTATCGTGCACGGTCTTTCTGATACGACATGGTATCTCTCTCATCCTGAACTAGCCCTGACATGAAAAGTCGAAGTTTGCCTCCTAAAATAATTATCTATACTGTGTCGATGTGGGCGTAAAAAGCCAACTAGAAAAGAAGGTCAGACTACCGTACTTTAATCTGTCTAATACTTCCTTGGAGTGTAAGAAAACTAAATTCTTTGAACCTCCTTAGAGAGGTAATCTACTTCATTCACTGAACTTCCTTGAGGAGCTCAACTGCTGTATTCGCGGAAATGTTTCTAAGATATAAGCTTTTTTTTTAACCTGTTCATTATATAGATTAGCCTTGGAGAGTTCAATTACTTATTTCCGTGAACGACCGTAAATCTATAACAGTGGTTTAATGAAGCTGCTCTCGTTGTTTTGTTTTTTTTGTGAGTGTGATTTTTGTCAATAGAATTTCGTGACATTGAGAGCAGCGTATTGTGCTAAATGATCCAGATTACGCTCGCGTGTCGCGTGTATTTGCATGGGTGTCCACTCACACTTGGCATTGAGTACCAAATCTATTTTCTTCGGCAGCTTCTGAGAATTTTTTTTTTATTCAAATGCTCGTGTGTGTGTGCGTGTGAGTGAGTGTGTGTGTGTGTGTGTGT